GTTTATTGAAATGGTGACCCTTCTGAAATTTCCCTTTTCTAAATGTGGTGCAGATAATAATAGGATCTACCTCATGAACTAGTGAGGATGAAGGAAGGCAATGAATGTAAAGAGTTTCAATAGGGCTGGTATCTGGCACATAGTAGGAGCTTAATAAATATCACCAGCAATTATTATTATTCATGACTGTTTATTTTCTCAGCACTTATCTGCCTCATTCTTATTGAATCGCATCATGTAGACATGGCGGATGGGGCAGATGCTGTGGGTAGAGGCTGGACCAAGGTCTTTTGTACATGATCTCAATTGCTAGAACAACCCTCATATGTTTCTTTCTTCTCTCTATGGGTGAGGAAATTGAGGCTCAAAAGGGTAAGTGACCACTGCAGCAAGAGGCAGAGTGGAATTCAGACTCACGTCTGTCTGACCCTGATGTCCCTTAAAATGAAACAAAACCAAACAAAATCAAAGCATCCATGCAAGCCCCCCCCCCCAAGCACCAAGGGGGCTTTGAATTCAGGAGGGGCCAGTACAAGGAAAGCTTGAGATTCTCAAGGAGCTTCCTTGAGTCAGTCTAGAGTCCAAAAATGTCCTCTAATCTCAAGGGAACCTTTGTCCCCGTCAGGCCAGTGGCTGGTGACAGCACAATGTGGCCGTATTACTTTGACTGTGGCCATGTGGTGGGGAGGAAGCCCCCAACCCCCTTCCGGCCTCTTTGTCCTGTTTACTGCTCCATCTGTGGGCTCCTCTCACACAGCCCTGCTGGTCTTGACTCTGAGGCGAAGGAGTAAACATCTTGAGGCTCTTTATTAGTTTATTTCAGAAGATGGAGCCTGTTTGTCCCCCTGGGGTCCATCCCTCTTTTATGGCCTCCAGCCCTTCTTGACAAATTCTAGTGACTGGAAAGAAAACCGCTTTCTACAGCAGATCATTAAAACACCACCATAAACCCAGGGCCATAAAATATTATTTGCCAGGCATAAAAGGGGGTAGATTTTCCCAGAATGACAACCCAGGCCCTGCTTTCTCCTGCTGGGAAAGGCGGCACAGGGATGCAGTCGTTCATAAATTCCTTATCTTGCACTCTGGTTTGTGAAATAACCCTGTTGGGAGAGCAGCCAAAAATATTGATTTATTAGTTCCACAGATTCAAAAGCATTCTGAATGAGCAGAGGAGCATGGTGATGCCTTGCCAGTGTGTCTTCAGATGACACAGTGTGAGTACACACACCAGATGCATACACAGTTTGCAAGGGGAAACGTGGAGGTCCACACACTGGTGGTCTGTCCAACATGAATCTTTGCAGATGGAGAGGCAATCGATTTCTCTCCTTCCCACTGTCTGCTCACTTCCCAGCCAAACGCACCAACACCCACAGTGGGACTGGTTCTTACAAGGAGCCTGGCTTTCCAGGGCAGCTCCCACTTCTAGCCACCATTGAAAACTCAAAGGGGATTTCCAGTTGGTTCCCCATGACATCATCCTCTGAAATAATTTTTCATCCATCTACCAATTCTTTTGATCATTATCGAGCTCCTACCAAGTGCAGGCACTGTTTTGAGTACTGGGGTTACAACCACGAAGAACACAAATGAGGTCCTGCTGACTCAGAGTTTATTGCTCTTGTGGCATAATCTCAGCACACACATTATTAATATTGTCAGATAAAATTCACAACCCTTTATCTGAAGTCCTGGGGACCATATAGGTCTATTGGAAATTTTGAAAATTTTGAAAGATAAAATGGGACATATGACTATTAGTTTGCCAACACACTCAGTGAGGGCTGTGGAAGTACCCAGCAACAAAGTGTGTTCATAGTTCTTCAATGAAAAGTATGAACATTCACTGCAAGTGGAAAAAACTCAAGACTATATAAATGGTCCTGTCATGTGAGGTCCAGTTTTGCCACCAAAGGAGTTTGAAAACCTCTGTTTTTAGAGCTGCTTTTTCTAGAAGAGCAGGTATTAAGTGCCAGGTGAGTGCCTGACCCATGCTAAGTGTGTCCATGGTCATGATGGTTCATTCTCACTGCTCCCCTAATTTTCAAGGTCATCCCATTTCATTCTCAGTACCCTCCTACAAGGTAGACCATGCTGTTTCTGTTTTGGTGTCGTTGTGTGTGTGTGTGTGTGTGTGTGTGTGTGTGTGTGTGTGTGTGTGTGTGTGTTTTAAAGGATTCTGAGGTGCTGAGAGGCTAAATGACTTATCCAAGCTTTCATAGCTAGAAAGTGGCAGGGCAGGGGGTGGAATGCCACACTCCATTGCTGGCACGCTTAACCACTACCCAAAATCGTCTTTCCACTAGAGGAAAAACTGCAAAACAGGAAATAGAACTGTTGGAGCTGCGTCTACACAAGCAAAGGCAATTGGAGAGAAGCAGGAGATTATACAGATAACTCAGAAAAGAGATTTTTAAAAAGAGGTTTGTGGTTGGGTAGCCAGTGTTTCTGGATTGGCTGTGTGGGTACAGCAAATTCTCCAGGTTAATGCCATTTCTCTTCATAGAATAGGCTTTTCTAAGGGAACCACCTCTGGACTCTGGGGCTTGGGTACCAGGTGGCTCTGGCGCCCGTTAGGAGCTCCATTCATAGCCAGCTCACTTCCTGCCTCTTCTCAGCGCCACCACACGCGAGCTGGGTCCACGAGATCGAGATCGATGCCCGCGGGGCGGAGCTGGGGTGGCTGCCCAGGGGGCACGTGCCTCCACTGGCTAGGAAAATCTCTGGCTGCAGCCACTGGGCAGAACAGCTGGGGAGAGAGGGAAGGGCGGAGGGACGCTGCCCAGGGGCGATTCGCCGGGCGCCTAGACCCTTCTTTTTTAGACCCCTGCCTCCCGTGGGCAGATCAATGCCCAAGGGTCGCTAAGTGGTCAAGGCCTAGAGAGGGTTAGGGGAGATGTCCCAAGGGGAGTTTTGAGAGCGTCGGGCTCCTCCATAAGGCTGCACGCGCCCTTGGCGAAAGAAAGGGAGACGGGACTGAGCAGGGGCATCCATCTCTTGCAGTTTGTGAGAAGCTCCCACTGCCATATTTTGTGCGCCAGGCGAAGCAGGGCAGGGCTGGGGAAGGGTCCAGTCAGCTGGGACAAATAAGGACACGGAAGGGGCTGCGGAGGGTGGGATAGCGTTGTCGGAGCCTCGGCCTGCGCGCTCTGAGGTGGTCAGCCGAGGGATGGGGGTAGAAGACAGGAGGAACAGAACAAAACAAAACAGCCCCCACCCCCGAAGTACCCAGGCCACGGATTTTGCGCCTTAAGGTCAAGTGCATGCCAGTGGATGGCGGAAATTGAATCGTGTGTGTGTGTGTGTGTTTCTTTCCAGTGTGAGGCACTGTGTGGGGGTGGCGCCTCTGGCGTGCTGGAGGCAGGGGGCACACATCCACCAACCCCGCCCTGCCGGAGTCCCAACCACCACCGGCATCTGGAAGCGGCTAGCAGTTCCGGTGCCCGGAACCCGTTTTTGCCGAACTTCGCTGTCTTCTCACCTGAGGACACCCGCCGAGATCCGCGCGACAGGACCGCGATTCGCGCCTGGATGCGCTGGGTCAGAGCCAGGGGAGCAATTGTGCACCCCAGTACCCAAACCCCTACTACACTGGGGGTGTCGCAGAATGTGCGCGCCTGCCCTATCCTCCAGCCTCTGGGCTTAGGTACCCTCCCTCGGGTAAGAATGAGGAGGAGGTCCCCACGAGGTTCCACGTCAGGGCAGCAGCCTCCGCGGAGCCCCAGTGGAAGGAGGCTAGGATAAGCGAGCCAGAAGGTTCAGCCCGGAAAGTTGGGGTTCAGCCTCCCGCGGGTCGGCGGCTTTGGAAAGAGCGCATCCAGCCAGGCGGCGGGCAGGCAGCGGCTGCGGAGTGGACCTCTGTCTCTCAGCAGATGCCTGGGGGGTGGGGAGCCTAGAGAAAGGGGCACAAGGGGGGGAGCGTACCCCGCCTCCCGGCACCCCAGCCCGTAGTACGGCTTTAAAATCCTGCGGAGTTTGTCATAGGCCGGTCTCACCACGCATGCGCAAAGGCAAAGTTGAGGTTTTTTTTTTTTTTTTTTCTTTCTTTTCCCCCCCTTCCCTCTCTCTTTCCAGCCGCCTTCGGTTCTGCAACTTTAAAATATATATGTATATATTTATATTTTTTCTGAGAACACCAGGGGAGAGAGGAGTCCAGAGAGAGGGAGGGAGAGAGTGAGGCAGTTGGCCAGGAGGGCCGGGGGGTGGGGGGTGGGGGAGGCGGTCCCCGCGGTCGGTCAGTCTGTCTGTAGGGCACAGGATCGCGTGGAAAGCTGCCGCAAGCTCCAAGCCGCCGCCTCCGCCGCCCAGAGTCCGGTTCGGTGCGGCCGCTTCCCAGTGAGCTCCTTCCGCCGCCGCCGCCGTGCCCCGGACCGCCCGCCTGCCCTCTCTCCCGCCCCTTGGACCCGGGCGCCAAAAGAGGAGGTGGGCAGCCTCGCGGCCATGGACCGCCAGAGCCGAGTCGCCGCTGCGGAGCCCTGAACTCTCGTCCTTCCCCAGCCCCGCGGTGTCCTAGCTTCTCTTCGCCCTTCGCCCTAGAAAGGCGGGGAAAAGAGGGAGGTTAATCCGAAGAGAGAAAGAAGGGGGCGAGGAGGGGGGAGCCAGTGCATCCCCTGGAGCAATCGTCCATTGCCCCCTCCCCCCGAATCTACAGCTCTTCAGAAAGTTCGGGTACGGCTTTCACCCATTTTGCACCCCAGTTTTGCCAGACCCTAAAATGAAAGGACAAAATTTGGCGCTGACTCTTGCAGCTCAGATGGCGACTTGTGCGTTTTCAGCGGCATCTCCCGGAGAAAAAGCCATGCGCGCTTGATTGTTTTGTGGCCCCAAAGCTGCAGTGGGTGTGGGTGTGTGTGTTTGGGTGTGTGTCTGTGTGTGTACACAGACGTCCACACACTAACTCGCGGCTGCACGATCAGCTCCTGGAAGCAGAGTTTTCGGCCACAGACCCGGAGAGGAGGAGCTGGAGATCAGGAGGCGTGAGCCGCCGGGAGTTTGCAGAATCCATGGTGTGAATGAACTGGGGCACCTGGGCTCACGGATCGCCCCCCTTTCCCCCGCCCCGTCCGGAGTTGAGTGGTGGGGAATTTTTTTTTCACCCTCTTGTGAAGAATTTTTTTTAAAATTATTTGTTGTAAAGTCTTTTGCACAATCACGCCCACATTTGGGGTTGGAAAGCCCTAATTACCGCCGTCGCTGATGGACGTTGGAAAGGGAGCGCCTCGCAGCGGAACAGTCGCCTGCGCGCCTTTGCTGGACCCGCGGCTTCCTCGTTGCGCCCCGGCCGGGCCCTGCCTTTGCAGTCGGCCCGCGCGCGTCGGCGCGCTCTCGGTTCCTGGGCTCATCTCAGCGTTGCTCCGGCTCGGGAGCCCAAGCCCAGGCGCCAGTGCCCACTTCGGCTCCGGTTCACTGCGCCCGCCCGACGCGCACCGGAGGACTCTGCAGTCCAGCTCCCAATCGTCCCCCTAGGCTTAACCCGGCCGCTCCGCTCGGATTCCTCGGCTGCCCTCGCTCCGGTGGCGACTTCCTCCCCGCACCCCCTCCCCCTCGCCATGAAGGTAGGTGTTCAGTGCGTCGCCAATGCTCGCCACTTTTTTTTTCTTTACTTTTTTTCTTTTGGAAGCGAACTGAGTTCCCTCTACCTCTTCGTATTCCTCCTCCATTTCTCCAACCGTCTCGAGAGGCTGGAACTACAGCGTCGCTGGCAGGGACCCCGACCCCTTCGTTTCCCACCCCCCGCGTACTGCCTCTGTGTCCTGGGAGACCTCTTCTGGTAGCACCAACTGTTCTACAGACCTTTTCAAATTTGGGAAAAAAGTGGAAGAGCGATGGCAGAAAAACTGAGTGCAGTTCACGGACGACTTTCCTTTTACCCTGAGAACCTTGAGTGTAATTTACTATGTATATTTCAGTAACAGGATAATGATTCAATTCAACAAATATTTACCAAGTGCCCACTGCGCGGACACCGGGAGGGTGTGTGGCCCGGGCTCGCAAAGGGAAAGGGGACCCCTTGGTTGGGGGGACCGGCAGCGTGACTAGGGGCCAACTACCTCAGAGCAGCGTACCCCCCTCCCCCCCCCGGCCCCCCGACGGAGGCCAGGTTGCAGGCTTGTCCCCGCTGGGTAACCGGAGCGTTGCAGGCCCCTGTGCCTTTAAGAGTGCCTGGCGGGGGGCCAGTGCGCACCCCGGCGCGGGGAGCAGGGTCGCGTTATTAGCATTATTAGCCGCCACTGGGTGAGCTCAGGCACTTTGCAGTGGTTGTGGGGGCGGGGAGTAGTGGTTATGGTGGCTCTAGTCCTATCCGCTGGGAGAGCGCGCCTCGACCCCCTGAACGGAGTCTGCCTCGTCCTTTAGAAACACTTGGGCCTCTCTGCGTTGGGAGAGCGGGCGGGGGCCAGTTTGTGAACTCGTGTTTGTTTTAATTGTCAGTTGTATGTTAAAGCCGAGTCACACACTCCGAGGGTCACCGAGAGTTCACTTTTACGAAAAGTTAACGTTTCTGCCTGCTATACAACTTGCTGTTTTCCAAACAACTTTTTCTCTCTGTCCTCCAAGCTTCGATCCTTATTTCCATTTTTCAGTTTCCTAGAAAACAAGGCTGGAATTAGAATTGAGATGCTTCCTAAAAGCAAACAATTCTCCTTTCCCTAAGAAAGGTTTTTTTAAAAAACTAAACCTGGAGACCCCACGGCCGTTTTACGTTCCAACCCCTGTCTGGCATTGGGGCCCCTTCTCTCTCGTCTTTCTTTAAATGGACAACTCTCTGTTTGGAAGTGACTTAGGTCCTGCGGAGGAATCTCGGCCCCCTCAGCCCCTGCCCTCCCGCCAACATTCGCACATGCACTGCCCAACCAGCCAGATACCCACGTTTGGTTTCTGGACAACCTCTGCCAGGAGAGTTTCGAGGGGGCAACGCTGAGAGTGCGCAGCACCCGAGGGGCAGTCGAATGTGGTGTGCATGTCCGAGTGTGTGGACCCTTGGCCTGTGTGTGTAAAGGATCAGTTGTTCTCAGGCTCTCGTCACACTAGCCTCAGCCACCTCTCCCCAACGGAAGACCCTCCCCTGGAGGCCCAGCCCAAGAGTTCTTGTCTTCCCTCCCCTCCCCGGAGCGCTCCGGTGCACAAGGGGTTAGCACAGTGCGCGCAGAACTCTGAGCTTTACCCTCTGCCTTTTCTTCCCCGGCGGTGCGGTGCCGGCTGCCCCCTGTTGGCCTCCTTGAGGTAGGACGCCTCCGAGTCTCCGTTCCTTGGGGGTGGGCCGGCAGCTGCTCCTCTCTCCCTCCCACCTCTGCTCCCCGTGTCCCTCCCGACCACCAGGCCCCACTCTCCCAGCAGGGCCCCCCGAGGACGAGCTTCGCTGCCTGGCCGCCGCAATACGGAAGGAGCCGTGGGTCCCACCCAGCAAATGGGGTTCGGGCAACTGGACGAAGGGGTCGGTACCTTTTCTCCTGGGCACAGGAAGGAGAGTGTCGCCCTAGGAGGCCTGGTGTCTGGCCACAGCTGTCTCACCAATTCTCTGTGGTCGAGGACTAGCGTTGCTTTCCCTCTCTTGGCCTCAGTTTTTTCGTCTTTTAAAAAGTGGGGATAAAACTACCTCTAAGGAGTGGGAATGGATGGGACTGATCTTTTATTTCTCCGTCCCCGTACTCTCAGCTTAGCCTCTAGACAGAATTGACAGATTTGAGACTGTGTGCACAGTTAGACTCCCTCAGTGAGAAGGTCTAAGTGATGTGTGTGTGTGTGTTAAGGTCTGGAGAGCCATGTCTAGGGGACGGACTTGGGAGTAGTGCAGTGGGGAGAAAGGCAGGAAACGGGAGACAACCAGGCCAGACCATTCTTCCCTTGGAGCTCCCCTGGTTCCTGGACTTACTGTCGGTTCTGAGGCCGGGGCGGTCAGAGGCTGCTCACGTTCCTTGCACTAATTCGTGCTCACAGAACAACCTCCGCCTTCTCTCTCTGGCTGCTCTCTCCAACCCCATGCCCGCTCCGCTCGTGCAGGCACGCAGCGCTGTAGACGCATACCCCGGCGTGGGGCAGCCGCAGCTCCCGTGCGCCCGGGCGCCAGGCGTGGGGGAGCAGTGGCTCCTTTTCCCGAGCCCCCGAAGCGGATTTCCTACCGGTCTCGGCCGGCCCATTCTCCATCATCTCCTCCTGCATCTCTCCGCGTTCTTCAGGACAGGACATCCCAAGTTTGTAGCTGTAACCGAATTTTTCTCTCCCAAGTTTCACCATCTCTCTCCTTTCTTTAGGGAGAGATCAGAGTGGGGAAGACAGGTTTTTTCTACCAAGAGAGGAGAATCTTCTGGGAGTTTCCCATCCTTCATTTCGCCACCGCGGGTCAATTTACTTCTTCCGCCTAGTTGGCGTCCTTCATCATTTCCACCCTCAGACACTGGGCCTTAACGTAGCGAGTCTAGTAGAAGGGGATGCCCAGAGCGAGTGAGATAGCGCCAGTGGCCGAGGGTCGAGGATCTTCGCCTGGCCTTTCGTAATTTCTCTGGAGGGACCGACTGCCGAGGACTTGGGCGCAGCGCGGGTTTGTGCGCGCGTCCTGCGGCCCCCGTGCGTCCTTTGATCGCTCTCCTCATCAGGTTTCCTCTCCCTCACCCCTCATCACCCCGGCCCGCACCGCAGTCGATGGAGGATTAAGAACACCTTTAATCCAACGCGAAAGCTTTGGGGGAGAGATGTAAAGGGGATTGGAAACGAGGGTGCGCGAATGCCCTCCTCCCGCCTCACCCTCCCCTGTGCTGACCCCAGCCCTCCTCTCAGGGCACTCGAGGAACACAGTCCCAGGGTCCTTGCAGAGTGTGTTTCCCTGGGTCCCGACAGCATTCGAAAACACTTAGCCGGTTCTTTGGGAAACTCAGCTTCTGACCAGAACTTTTGTCTCCACCTCCCGCCCCGTGTGACACGCTCCGGAGAGATCTCATTTCGTAGTCTTTTCGGATCACATCTCTTGGTAAACAGGCGGGGATGTTTTACCCTACAGAATCGACGTATTTTTTTATTAAGTTCGCTGTGGGTTCCTCGAGTCTCCCAAATTTGTGGGGCCTCTTCTGGGTTGCACCGGGATTGGAAGCGGGGTGAAGGCCAAGGTGTTTCCGGGCAGGCGCGCGGGGTTAAGTCGAGGCGCGACTCGTGGGGCTCTTCTGCCCGATTCCCATTGGGACACCGTCGCCTACCTCTTACCCTAGAGCTAGGATGACCCGAGTCGCGGAGACCGGATGGCCCCACTCTCAGCTGGCTCCGAGTCTGGGAGCTGATGGACTCTCCCCCGGGGCTTCGGGAGGAGAGTGGGTTCGGTTTGTGTGGTTTCGGCTCTAACAAAGAGATCCGCTGTAATCCGCCGAATCTGTTATCAATTTCTCCGCTGCCCGCGCCCCGCCCTGCGCACCCCGCCCGCCGCAAAGCTCGGAAAGTGCGCGCTGCCGGCGGCGATCCTGGCCGCCGACTCGGAAGCACGTCGCACGGTGTGTGTCTGTGCACGCGTGTGAGTGTGTAAGTGTGCGCGAGTGTGTGTGTGCATGTGTGTGCGCTCGGCTTCGGCCGCCTTGAGGGAGAGTAGACTGCAGCCTGGGCCGCGCGCGAAGGCAGACCTCGCAACCCACCCCCTCCCCTGGAGGAAACTTGACACTTCGGGCGGGGGTGGGGAGGAAGACGGAGCCTTCTCTCTCCTAGGCTGGGGAAACCCCGAATTTCTATTCTCCGGGATGCGCCCCCAGCTTTGTGGCTCTTTGGGGTCGACTGGGCAACGGGCGCGGAGCCCTGGATAGCAGGCGCTGGGGACCACATAAGCATTTCCTCTCCAGAAGCCCTGAGGTGTCCGGGCCAAAGGGGCGGCTCGCAGAGAAAAGCCGTGGCACGCTCCTGAGCCCTTTAGCGTCTGCGCTTGCCTGGGTCCTCCTGTCCCTATTACGGCGCAGGTTTCGGGCCGGGCTCTTCCGCCGCCTGGAGGAGTCTCACCTTTCTTCCTTTTCCCGAGGAAGGAGCTCCCTCGGGGGCTGCGGGCGGCGCAGCGCCTCAGGGTTACACTTATCATAGATATGAAAGGGGATTTCGGAAACCCGCTCCTCCCACCCGCGCCCGCCACCGCCTTGCTCCCGCCGCCTACAGGTGGAGAAGTCACCAGTGGGGAGGAACGGCAGCGGAAGCTTCCAAGGCCGACTTCTGCCCCGAAATTCTTCCCGAAGGGAACCTTCGCCGCCAGGACCCCTTCGCTCTGGAATCCGGGGGCCCCGCTGGGGCTCGGGAGGCAGCGCATCTCTGGCCCCGCCGGGGACTCCTCCGCAAGGGCCCTGTCCTCGCCCCGCACCCTCACCTTTCGGAACTGACTGAACTGAGTTTGAGTTGGGCTGGAGAGGCTAAGCTGGGGGCGGGGTGGCAGTGTTCCAAGGCCAGGCTCGCAGTGCCACTATGGCGAAGTGGCCGACAACCCCAGACCAGGACCAAAGGAAACTAGTCCCCCTTGGCTTCTGTCCCTTCCCTGCACAGCAGCTGCCAGGAGTGGGGGAGGGAGGGAAAATGAAATATCGGAATTTGGGGAAAGTTGTGGTGAGGGCACAGAAGGAATCCTCTCCCGGGACAGCGGGACACTTTCTTTTCCTCTGGGGTTCCATCCCTTCTCCCAGTCCGAGGGGGAGCCCGCAGGCAGGAGGAGGGGCACTCTTCTGGTTTCCTTGGTGGGGAGAGCAGGCCTCTCTTGCCATTATCCTTTAGGTCCCCCATCTCCTTCTCCCCGCCCCCATCTGGCTGAAGGGAATCCTAAAGGAAACCCGGGCTGCTCGTCCCCATCTGGAAGTAGCTTTCCCCAAATCGGCCCGTAAACTGATTATGAAACATACGATGTTAATTCGGGGCTGCATTTCCCAGCTGGGCACTCTTGCGCGCGCTGGTCCCCTGGGCCTCGCCCCCCACCTCCTGCCCTTCCCTCCAGCGTCCTGCCCCCACCCCCCACCCCCACCCTGGCCCCGCCCCCCCCCCCCCCCCCCGCACTGGCCACCCCGCCTCCTCCGCAGCCGCCGGCAGCGCGCTCCAGTCGCCTTCGAGCTCCCCTCGCCCATGGAATTAATTCTGGCTCCACTTGTTGCTCGACCCAGGTCGGGGAGAGGACGAGGGTGGCGGTGGGTTCCCAAGTGAATTCCCGAGGAGGGACCGAGCGAGGGGGTGCGGGACTCGAGCAAGCAGAAAGGAGGCAGCGCCTGGCACCAGGGCTTTGACTCAACAGCATTGAAACATGTTTGTAATCGCTGGCGTGCCCCGCGCACAGGATCCCAGCGAAATCAGATTTCCTGGTGAGGTTGCGTGGGTGGATTAATTTGGAAAAAGGACTGCCTATATCTTGCCATCAAAAAACTCACGGAGGAGAAGCGCAGTCAATCAACAGTAAACTTAAGAGACCCCGGATGCTTCCGTTGTTTAAACTTGTACGCTTGAAAATTATCTGAGAGGCAATAAACATCTGCTCCTTTCTTCCCTCTCCAGAAGTCGATTGGAATATTGAGCCCAGGAGTTGTCTTGGGGACGGCTGGAAGTGCAATGTCTTCCAAGTTCTTCCTAATGGCTTTGGCCATATTTTTCTCCTTTGCCCAGGTTGTAATAGAAGCCAATTCTTGGTGGTAAGTTTATTCTGTGTGCATATTCTTTCTAGAAAAAGACTCGTTTGTTTGATGCTTCAATAGTTAAAGCTGGATAGTGAGTAGTGTGGCTGCATTGATCTAATACATATGTATATAATACATTTTATTTACATATATTTTTAAAAGAAGAATTTTCTTTTAATGTGCTAAATTGTAAAGCTTATCTTCAGCTCCACAGGGAATCGGAACCTATAAATCTAGGCCTTTTTCTATGAGGCCCTTGTTCAGATGTGTGCTTGTAGTACATCATGTAATAAAAAGGAACAGAAATTCACTTCCCTAATAATTGTAAGCCTATCTATAAAATTTACTTTTTGCCACCTTTCAGTAGTAAAAGTGAGTTTCAACTTTTATTTTCTGTCACTTGAGGTTATTAACCTACAGAGTCTGAAGTAGGCAGAGTTCTAGGAAGACAGCTAAGCTCTAAGTGGAGAGGTATTTGGGCTTGAAATTTGATCAAATGGAGGTTAACTTGAAGTAGTCACATGTCCCTAAATGGGGGTTTCTTTCTGGTACTGACCTTGTGGATAGACTGCAGTATATCCAGAGGATTATTTTTGACGGTGTTCTGGATATTTTTTTCCCTGTAAATGAACAGCGTTTTTCTGACTGTCAAACGTGACTTCTGTTCACCGGATACCCTGTCTTGGGTCCTTCACAATCACATAAGGAGCCCTTTTAAAATGTCCAGAAACATGGTGAATTTTCTTCAGTCTGTATACTTGCCCCTCTGTTCTTCCATCAGTCAAAAGGAACTGCTATCTCCTACCCGTGTCTAATTGTGTCTACTTTCGGCGTTCCTGTGTTTTCAAGGCAGATCGGTCCAATTTGTGGGGCAAAGTGAATCGCTTTCTCTAATGTCAGGGGCCTGTCCCTGAAACCACCATTTCCCCCTTTTGGAATGGGATTTGGAAATACTGGTTCAGGTAGATGGCAACAGGGGCAAGGAATAGGGAGCGAGAATGCTAACTGAGGGGCCAGATGGCGGGATGAGGACTGCACAATACCTCCGTTTTCTGAGTGGAGTTTAAACAGAGGAGTTTTATGAAGCCCTTCTCATACTTTGTCATGAGGACAAGCAGGAGAGAAAAAGCATCTGTGTGCTTAAAACTATGTATTGCTGACATGCTTTCAGGGGGCCCTCCTCGAGAGTTCACGTAAATCTTGAATGCACATCTACCCCCCTTTGCAGGTCGCTAGGTATGAATAACCCTGTTCAGATGTCAGAAGTATATATCATAGGAGCGCAGCCTCTCTGCAGCCAACTGGCAGGACTTTCTCAAGGACAGAAGAAACTGTGCCACTTGTATCAGGACCACATGCAGTATATTGGAGAAGGCGCGAAGACGGGCATCAAAGAATGCCAGTACCAATTCCGACATCGAAGATGGAACTGCAGCACTGTGGATAACACCTCCGTGTTTGGCAGGGTTATGCAGATAGGTAGGAAACCATTTAACATATTTTAAAATATATATAAACTTTTTCCTAGGAAAAGCCTTTAGTATTTACTAACATGCTTGATGAGGAGGGCACCTTCCAGCTTGAGTGATGGTTTGGGGATTTTTGTCATTATAGTGAGTGGTGTTAATTCTGGTCCTCCCCACATCTGATTATGAGGTTTGGACTTCTTTAACCCAATCAGGAGGTGAACATCACAGACACCTTCATTTTTCTGAACACTTAATTTTTCTAAAAAGCATTTTGTTTAAAATAGAAGCAGAACACTCATTTTGGTTTCTCAAAAGTAGATGGGGGAAGCTGAATCATTTATACCCTTTTAAACTTCGAAACTCTTGACTGTTAGAAATTTTTAAGGCCACAATTCAAATGGCCTAGGCATCAAACTAAAAATTGTCATCTTTCAGAATGCCGGATATGTTGTAAGTGGACAAGATTTTATTTTCCTAATATAGATATTTGCTGAGGCTGTTAAGATATACTTGTATATGTCAAAAGCTTTATTTTTAGTCCCAGAAAGAATTTTAATTAAAAGTCCAATTTACGTTTGTGATTTTGGCAATTTATATAAAAGCACATGCATGGGATCTCAATCTAGGAACTTAAAAGAAATTTTAAAGTGTACTGCTCAGAGTCTGATTCTTAGTTTTAAATATGTTGAACTTGTTACTCCATTCAGGGAGGAGATGGCATTTAAACTGGGCTAGAGGCAATGATTTTGAAAAAAATCAGTTTGTCTCTGGTTTGGTTTAATAGTGTGGGATACTGTTTAACAGATGTAGTAGTCCTTGTGTGTTTTCTAGTGTGAATATTTTAGGTCTCCTTACTTTTATGCAAACAAGCTCTTATAATTAATATGACTGCAGTGACTCCTAAAATAAGAAGCAATTTATCAAAGCAATTTATCAAAGCAATTAACTGTCTATACTGACTGAAGATAAAAAGTTGGCTTAATATCCATCATGGATGGATAAAATGCTTTTTTAAAAAAACCTGAAAAGTGCATTCATTGAGAACAAAAAAGAGTTGTCAGTGGATGTTTGAGCCAAACAGCTTCATAAGCTAAAATAATACAGGACTGGAAGCCATTCCTCTAATTGAATGAGAAAATGGCCTGTAGCCTCAGCCTGCAAAGTTTCGTAGGGCTTTGTCCTTTCTGTTAATGATTAAAATGTGCTAATGTATATATACTGGGATCTGAGTCTAGGAGGTAAGCTTCAGAAACACAGGAGTTTTCCCTGAATATGAGCTGTCTTTTGTAGTTAACTGGAGTTGTGGTGGAAATTTCATTTTCTGCATTTTGATATTGTGAGTGCGCTAAAAACTTTTAAAAAATTATATCAGAATGGTAAGATGTCTGCTTTCTCCCCTTCTCCTGTGTTCCCCCTAAACTGCCTTCCTCTCAAACTGTGAGATCATTTTTTCACATGTATGTGAGTTAGCAAAAATCACACCCCTCCGATGGGAACCAGGAAGGAAAACAGGAGTTGGCACTGTTTTTCGGTGTAGTCACTTGAACACAGCTTTGATTTAAGATCCTCGTCTCGTCTTTATATATAGCCTGTTTGAAGCTAAAATGTTCAGAATACGCTATCATTTGCTAAATGAATTTGAGTTCTGCTGGAGATTTATTTTAAATGTGGTCCAAGGCCTATATTTAATTGTCCCTTGTAAGCATACTGTCTGGTCCTGAGCTGTGTGGTTCTCCCATCTGGGTTGATGGCAAGTGGGAGGGAGTGGTGCCTCCTGACAGCCTCCGAGGGAGCCCTCCTAGATACTATTGTCAGGTCAGCTGATGTCCTGGGAAGATGAGAACCCAGGATGCATCCTCCCAAGCCAAAGTTCCCCCCAAGTGCCTGGTGTCTCAGAGCAGAAAGCTGCTGCTGGGTGACTTGTGGTGGGATGCTGATGGGGCCTTCAATTTTTAACTTATTTAAAAAGGAGATGAAGAGAAGAAAAAACAAAAGATTCTTATGGAAGAGGAACATGGACCTAACACCAATAGTGGGAAAGTTACTTTGCCTTCACTTTTCCACTTAAGGGTATGTTTGAAGAGAATGAGCTAAAGGGACATTTAAAACACCTTTGATGCCAAAAGGTGTATGTGCCCACCCCAAAGCACTTACTACACCAAGGACATTGAGAGTAATTCAGGACTGTGAGAATCTGACCCCGTGATGGGGCCAGAGTCTGAAAAACTCTGGCTGTCACCTCATCCCCCTCCTCTACTCATTTTTCTAAGGTGCCGATTGCCTTGGAGGCAGCGTGCACAATCGCCTCATGAAGGCCCCACTCTGCATGTTGGACACTTTCTCATTTTTCATCATGCTACCCTTTCCTTCCAGCTTTTGTCTCCATCTCTTCTTTGTTTCCACGCTGTGAAAAGATATGGAAGGAAGGCACCATGTATAAGGGGTGTGAAGATCCAAGTAGATGTAGATTTCACACAGAGGGACACCTAACTGAATCAGCAGTATTCCAAGGAGGGTGAATGTATCCACAGGCTTTTTAGTGGCCAAAGAGTACTTTTCAAACTGATGTTTTCCCTGCAGTGACCAATTAGTTTAGCAATTTCTACCAGGTTTGTATTTTGGGGCAAAAAAGGAAATGCTCAAGATAGACGTATTAAAAAAAAAGCATTATTTGTGTTTTGTATAAAAGCTCTTTTATGCTTACTGTACACTCAAAGGACAGTGTCTTATTTTCCTCTGTCCCCAGAGGATCATTTTATCTCCTCTGCCTCTAGCTACAACCTCTTTGTTCTGCAAGTCTCCCACCCAGGGCCACAGCAGTTTCTGTATTATCAGTGTTAATCCTCAAATAACTCCCTAGAATCTGTCTGTCCTCCACATTCCTTTCCACTCCCCCGACGTTCTCTGCCTCTAATTTGAGCTACGTAGATGTTACACCACACAGGAACTTTCTGGATCCTCCAGCCAACCACCAGCACACTCCTCAAGTTATTCATTTTTAAAATGTGGGAGGGGGAGGGTCTGTGGTGAATCAGAACCATGGGCATTCCTGGAAGGGGGTATCACAAATGGCTGTGATGGAAGTGTGGAGCAGAAGTCACAGAAAAGGCGGCCTGCTGGATACGTGAATTGTCACAGCCATACTCCTGCAGGATGACCCCCTGGTTGGGGCCCAGTCCTGTCGTTAGCTGTTCTTGTGTTTCCCCCTTTCCCCCAAAAAGATTGTTAGCAAGTTCTCAAAATAAGTATAGGAGAAACTGATTCGGGTACAGGGATTTTAGCACCCGAAGGGGCCTTTCTTCCCTAGGTGTTTAGTCAATACCCTTATTTTACAGTTGAGGAAAGTGAGGCCCCTCTCATCCCACCCCCAGCCCAGCTTCAGCTGGCTGGGTGTTAACCCTTTCTCTCTCATAGTTATTACATGGAGAAATGTCTCCATGTGCAAGTGGAGTTTAGGGTAGTCTATGATGGCCTTCATTTTTCTCCTATAATTGTTTTATGGGAAGATATTCTTTACAAGGTTTGGGGAAGGAGAAAACGTTTTTCCCCCTTTTCTCCTAGGTTGTGCTTTGTTCGTTCTTGCTGCCATTCTAACACTTAGAGGCAAAGGCTATGGGTGGGGTGCAAGGGGTGGCTGCAGAAGCGTCATTAAAGAACAGCAGGCTGTTTTAAAAGTAGACACTCATGTTCTTGAATGAGAAGTATCGGGCCAGTCAGCTTGGGATTTAAGAAGAGGCAAGTTCCATTTATAATCTCTATGAACTGGTTTAGAATTGTGCTCTGGGACAGTAAAGAGCCCTGTCCTGAGACAGACTTTGAGCTGCTTGATGGAGGAGGGAGAGGTTATATCCAAGGCAGGAGGGGATTCGAGGCAAAAACTAGTGTGGCCGCAACACTGGCCTGTCTGAGTTAGATTCCAGGCCTAAGACCTTCAGAGGCTCTACCCTGGCAAATTCTTTGCTCCTGCCCTATACGGAACTCAAAATGAAAATAATACTAAACTTTAAGATAAATGTAAGGAAGTCTACCCAAACTCTTAGTTTTCCTTCCATGACTTCTTTAATGTGCATTTTTGGAAATAAGAACTTTTGAATATTTTCAAAAGAGTTGCAGAGGAAAACAATCAGCACTGCTTAGATTCCTGCCTTAGGCTCTGAAATGTCCGAGGGAAGGTATGGGGATAAGCGGCTGCTGCTTTGTTATCTGCTTCTTCTGTGTGTCTGCAGAGATCTCTTTGGCTTCTCTGCAAGGTGGGCCCTGGGCCGGGGTGTATGTTGGGGTTGAGGCCATCCTAGTTCCCCACCAAGGGGTCCCAGCGGAGGGAGGTTTTTCCCCGCCTGGCCCTGGCCCGGCCCGGTGACCCGCGTCCTCGCCCGCAGGCAGCCGAGAGACGGCCTTCACGTACGCGGTGAGCGCCGCGGGGGTGGTGAACGCCATGAGCCGCGCCTGCCGCGAGGGCGAGCTGTCCACCTGCGGCTGCAGCCGCGCCGCGCGCCCCAAGGACCTGCCGCGGGACTGGCTCTGGGGCGGCTGCGGCGACAACATCGACTATGGCTACCGCTTCGCCAAGGAGTTCGTGGACGCGCGCGAGCGGGAGCGCATCCACGCCAAGGGCTCCTACGAGAGCGCGCGCATCCTCATGAACCTGCACAACAACGAGGCCGGCCGCAGGGTGAGTGCCCGCCCCTGCCCGTGTCGCTGGCCTTGTCATCCAGTGCCCAGCTCTCCCCCTGTCCCTCCGTGCCCTCCTCGGCCGCCCCAGCCCCTCAGTGTAGTCCTTTCCCTGTCTCTGCGTCTCGTCGTCTCTCCTGCCCCCTCTGTCTCTGTCTCTGCGCATCTATTTCCGCCTCTTCCTGTTGGTGTCCTTCCTTTTCCTTTCCCTCCCTCCTTCCCTGTCTCTCTTCTCTCTCCCTCGCTCCTTCTCTCTCCCCCATCTCTTTCCCTCAGTAGTCCCACCTATACTCAGGCCTCTGCGGAGAGGGGTGCACCCCAGAGAGGCTTCCTGGGGGAGAATCATCTCCCCGCGGCCCACCCTGCTTTTTAAAATGAGTCCCAAGTGCCATTGGCTATCGGAGCTCAGAAATAAAAACATTAATAACTTTCTCCCGCCTCCCTGGAACACGGTTGTGGTTGGCTTTCAATTTGGGACAGGGAGTTTTTTACCCTAGTAGGTGCCCAGCTGAGAAAGCCGTCACCCCAGCGTTCAGGCCTTCTGGTTCTCCTGCTTTCTTTCTCCCTGCCCTTCTTTATGTCATTAGATAGCAGGCCTGATGGGTTGAGGGTTTTCTAAAAAGGGCTTTTCTAGGAAAACTACAGCATTTTTAGCAGTGTGGCATTTTATAGGTCTGACCATCAGGCCAATCACAGGGTGGCTGGAGAGAAGAGAGAGAAACAGAAGTGCCCAGAGAGGACCGTCTTTGCAGCCCTCATGAGTCCCCAGTCCCTGCTCTTTCCTTCCCCTGGTGGGGATATGAAAAGCTACTTCTCAATAGTTAAAAAGACCCTTTTTTTCCTGCGGTTAAACACATGGCACTTTATGGCTGCTTTAAAATGAAGGGGTGAAAACTTTTCTTAACTTTGGCAGCATTGAAAACCAGGGCCATTATTTTTTCACAGAACTCAAGGTAGGTGCCAGGAACTTTCTGGTCAGAGATTTCACTCTTCTGTATTTTGGGGTGAGGAAAAAGGAAGATAATCACAGAGTAGATCACAGAAAACTGGAAGGAGCCTTAGAACCCTCTGGCCCCACACCCTCATTTTAAAGATTGGGAAACTGAGGCCTAGAGAGCCATTTCATCATTGTGGAAGGAAATTAATGGATATTAATGTAAGCCCAGGTGTGTTTTTATTAAACTCAAGTATTACCATTTAGGGGTGAAGAGCTAGAGGTTTTGAAATCGGAGTAATCTCGGTAAAAATCTGATGCTGTCTGTTCCTTTCTGTTTCTGAGCCTCATCTGCATTTTCATATCTGTTAAATGGCCATGGCAATAACTATCCCTTGGGGTTATTGTGAGGGCTAAATGAGATCATGTAGTAGGTTGACCCATACAAAATTGCCAATACTTGACTATTTTTGGCCTACAAAATAACAATCTCATTAGGTTCAATCTAAGGCCTTAGTTTAGTGTCAGCCGTAGTAAGTTCTTGATAAATAACTCAATCACTAAATATCATGGAGGAAAGGATGTGGAGAAGTCAAAGACTGTGTAGATAACTCCAGCTAACTTATCTTTTTCTCAGATTTGACCTGAGAAAACATTTGGGGATGTCGAGGAAGAAGTAAACTCTGCAGAATTTTGCCTGTGCTGGCCTGAGGGGTCAGATAATTATTACAGGGAAAGTGTGGCCTCTCCTTTCTCAGGTGTCCCCCTGCTGTGGTGCCTGCAGTGTGGGTTGACTCTTGCTTCTGGCTGCTGCCAACCCAGGGCCACGTGATGGGAGGGTCAGCCCCATTCTCTTTGGAAGCCCATAAGACGTTGCTGCCACCCTCATCAGGGACACATCATTCCACTGTATGCACGTTATGTGTGCTCACTTCCTCAGACCAGAAATGCCTCCAGGACAGAGATGTGCCAGGCTCTTATGGGCCCCATCCAGGGGTGCACCTGTATTTGGTACTCTCATCCATCTTTGAGACTTTCTTTAGACTTCTCTCCTGTTGAGAAGTCATCAGGGGCTTGGCAACCAAGGAGAGAGGGTCAAGGGATTTCTACGTGGCAAGAGGGGATTTTGGAGCATTTAAAAAGCACCTCTAATATTGTAATTTCATTTGACATCTGCATTTTTTAATAGTGAGTTTTTTGGGGATAAATTATATCATTGGAGCAGTGAACTGAGTTTGAATCCTGGTGGGTGAGATTGCATGGAAGACAGTTTTTCTCTAGGATGGTGAACGGTAGGGGGTGGAAAGTTGCGCGCTGTGCCAGGAAATCATGTTAGAATTTCCTCAGGGCATTAGCTTTTTATTTTCCTTACAGGGGAGAAAAGGTTAAATATGTTTACAAAACCCTTCTTCAGACCAGCTGAATGCCTGAAACTCTTTATGCCAAGAGAGTACACTTTGGCCCCTTTTAAAAGAAAATCACTGATGAATCCCTGCAGGAAGAAGGGAGCTGTTCTGGGTGGAAGCAGCCTTCTAACTCACCCAGCCTCCAGGTCCCTGACAGTTCCTCTCCAACACGCCCACACCACGCAACTCTGGAAGGTCACTGGCACAAGGAACTGTGGGCAGTAGTTACTATAAATAGACAACCACCACCTCCCAGACTGCTGGGCACAGTGGTATGGGACCAGATTCAGGACAAAGCTACTGGGAGGACCGAGGTGACCAGGCAAGGGCCCAGATGCCAAGCCCTCGTCACCCAGGAGAGAGGCCAGATTTACTGAGTGTGTCCAGAGTGCCAAGCACTTTCCATGCCTCTCCTAGTTCTATCTTTACAACAGTGCTGGGAGGTTGGTACCATCACAGTCCCCTTCACAGATGAAACGGAGGCTCAGAAAGATGCAGCCAGTTGCTTAAGTTCAGGGGCAGAGTCAGGAACAGAGTCCATAATCTGCCTGGCTCCAGGGTGGTACTCTTGCCTAGGGGGGTGGTGGTCAGGATAGGGACTGTGCAAGAAGCAGGGGTGAGGATACCTGAGACCTAGGCCCAGTTCCCCCACATTCTAGCTATGTGACCTGTGTCGGCCACTTATCCTGTCTGCATCACTGTGCCATTATCTAATCCAGCCCATGTTACAATGTTGCCTGGATGATTGAATGAACTTTTATAACAGTGCCTGGCACAAAGCAATAAAAGTAGTGGGTAAAGATTTGAACCCTGATACCACTGAGGCTGGACCCCATCCCAGCAACTTACCCTGGCAAGTCACTGAGCATGGGCTTGGGATCACACTGCTTTGGTACAAATTCTGGCACCCCTACTTCCCGGTGGCTGGGTAACTCATCTCTCTCGACCTCACTTTCCGTCTGTTAAATGGGGATGATAATCTCCTCTTCTCTCAGAGACTGGCTGTAGGTATTAATTCAGATAATGCAGGTAAGGAATTGTGAACAATCTCTGGGATGAGTGTTAATGAGTTGCTGCTAACGTTTCCCTGCAAAAAAGCAGCAACAGGAACAATGTTTCTTTTCTGTTCCCATTCAAAAACTGTGTGGTTGTTGTTGATGATGATAATGACCATAATGATGTAATAATGAGGGGCTAAGAAAGTGTTTATTTTGTAAAGTTATTAAAGAAGGCAACACGAAACTTCTAGTAGTGGAAAATGAAGGGGAAATAACACAGGCGCTGAATCATCTGGGGAGCAGGGCTCCATGTAGAATCCGTTCCAGGAGAGCTTTGCTAACATAGCTCATGCCTGCATCTGGGATCGTCCATGAATTTGTACACTGACTGTCTCCGCTTTCCTGCAGACGGTGTACAACCTGGCTGATGTGGCCTGCAAGTGCCATGGAGTGTCGGGCTCATGTAGCCTCAAGACATGCTGGCTGCAGCTTGCAGACTTCCGCAAGGTGGGTGACGCTCTGAAAGAGAAGTATGACAGCGCTGCGGCCATGCGGCTCAACAGCCGGGGCAAGTTGGTGCAGGTCAACAGCCGCTTCAATTCGCCCACCACGCAGGACCTGGTCTACATAGACCCCAGCCCTGACTACTGCGTGCGCAACGAGAGCACGGGCTCGCTGGGCACGCAGGGCCGCTTGTGCAACAAGACGTCCGAGGGTATGGACGGCTGCGAGCTCATGTGCTGCGGCCGTGGCTACGACCAGTTCAAGACCGTGCAGACCGAGCGCTGCCACTGCAAGTTCCACTGGTGCTGCTACGTCAAGTGCAAGAAGTGCACGGAGATTGTGGACCAGTTCGTGTGCAAATAGTGGGTGCCTGCCCATCACCCAGCCCGACTCCCAGGACCTACTTATTTATAGAAAGTACAGTGATTCTGGTTTTTTAAAAAAATATTTTTTATTTTTCCCCAAGAATTGCAACCGGAACCGTTTTTTTCTGTTACCATCTAAGAACTCAGTGGTTTGTTACTTATATTACAATTATTATTTGGCAATAATGGGGGGTGGGAACCAAGAAAAATATTTATTTTGTGGATCTTTGAAAAGGTAATACAAGACTTCTTTTGATAGTATAGGATGAGGGGGAAATAGCACATACCCTAATTTTGCTGTGTGGACATAGTATACATCCAGAAGGTAAAGGAAGTACATTTTCTTTTTCTCAAATATGGCATCATATGAGATGGGTAGGATCCAATTGGAAGAGGGTGGGACAAATGTATGCATGATTTAGATTCTTTTAAATTGTAAATGCTGTGGTGCAAGATAGAAGGTTCTTAAAGGGAAAAAACAGAAAAATAAGATCCCCTTCTCCAGGGGCTGCCAGCCTGCTTTTCACATTTTCAAAATGATGATTTAAAATGTTAAGAGCACGAATCTTACATTATCCCCAAAGGAAAAAAGGCGTATCATATGTCTCATTCTTCTCAAATATTCCATCTGCAGACGGTCCTATTCTAATAGGTTGTAAAACTTGGGGAGAAGGGAGGGAAGCCCCTAGAAACTAAATTAAATAATTGAAAACTTCTATATGAAGACAATGATTTGAAGCTGTTACAGGAGTTAGGCTTTCAGGTTGGAAAAGGATCCCCAAATGATTCTGGACACTTTTTGTTTGGGGAGACCGTGTTGGCTTGAATATAAAGGAAAATATCCTGTAATTTTCTTAGGGATACTTGGTTCATAAATGATAATAATGAAAATAATACATGAATTTCATTGACAGATCCTCAGCCCAAACAACAAGGTAATTGCATGTAGTTCAGCACATTGCACCAGAATAGAAAACCTATTTGAGGAAAACAAGTGAAATCCACCTTCCCACTTGACCCCAGGCCCTCTCTGATTCCTCTGTGCCGTGATGTGATGCTGGCCACGTTTCCAAAAGCAGCTCCACTGGGTCCCCTTTGATTGTAGGACAGGAAATGAAACATTAGGAGCTCCACTTGGAAAATAGTTTGCTACTTAGGGATTTTTTTTTCCTAAAACTTTTATTTTGAGGAGCAGTAGTTTTATGTTTTAATGACATTACTTGGCTAATGGAGTTCACAGAGGTGTTGCAGTGTTTCACTGTTATGATCCTGTGTTTAGACTATCCACTCGAGCTTTTCCTATTATACTGCAGGTTACCCTAAAACTGTTTCTAGTATACTTGAACAGTTGCATTTATAAGGGAGGGGGGAAATGTGGTTCAATGGTGCCTGATATCTCAAAGTCTTTTGTACATAACATATATATATATATATATATATACATATATATAAATATAAATATTATTATATCTCAGTGCAGCCAGTGATTTAGATTTACAGTTTACTCTGGGGTTATTTCTCTGTCTAGAGCATTGTTGTCCTTCACTGCAATCCAGTTGGGGTTTTTCCAAAAGTTTTTTGAGTTTTGAGCTTGGGCTGTGGTCCTGCTGTGATTGTACCTTGAGCACCACAAAGCAGCCTTGTTTCTGAGGAGGCTTGAAGGTCTGACTCACTGAAATGCATGTTGGGTTGAAGATTTCTTTTATCTTTCCTGTCCCAACCCCTTTTCTCCAACCTCTGTTTCTGTACACTTTGTGGAGAGGGCATTACTTGTTTGTCATAGATATGGACATTAGGAGATATTCAAAACTCAGAGGAATCATCAAAGTTTCTCTTTTCTTAGTTCATTGTGCAGAGAGGAAACTGTTGCCTATTAGATTTAGTAAGTCCTTATTTGAGTCCCTAAGGAAAATCCAGCCCACTACATAGATAGCTAGTTTAAAAGATGTTTTTAAACAAGGACACCTCTTCCCAAAAAGAGCCATTAAATGTTCTTATTTCAGACTTACATTGTTTTAAACGTTTGGAAAGGTACACATCTCCCGCACCCTTCATAGGCTTGGTGGCCTTCATGTCACCTCAGCCAACTGCGGTTTTTAATTTATTGCACAAGGATATTCACTTCCCCTCAGTTGCAGTGAATTGCAAGCAAAAGATCTTGAATTAAAAAGCACTAATTAGCTTAAAATGTCACTTTTTTGGTTTTTATTATACAAAAACCATGAAGTACTTTTTTATTTGCTAAATCAGATTTTGTTTCTTTTTAGTGATTCATGTTTATGAAAAGAGTTGAATTTAACAATCCTAGCTTTTAAAAGAAACTATTTAATGTAAAATATTCTACATGTCATTCAGATATTATGTATATCTTCTATGGCCTTTATTCTGTACTTTTAATGTACATATTTCTGTCTTGCGTGATTTGTATATTTCACTGGTTTTAAAAACAAACATCGAAAGGCTTATGCCGAATGGAAGATAGAATTTAAAATAAAATGTTACTTGTATATTGGTAAGTGGTTTCAATTGTCCTTCAGATAATTCATGTGGAGATTTTTGGAGAAACCATGAAGGATAGTTTAGAATGACTACATGTCAAAATAATAGAAGACTGGAGAATTTTACCAAAACCAAACTATTCAGAAGCTTCAAAAGATTTCTATATGTAACGGAACAAAAGGGGAATTCTCTTTTCCTATATACGTTCCTCAAAAAAAGAAATCAAGCAGATGGCTTAAAGCTGGTTATAGTATTGCTCACATTCTTTCAGCATTATGCATGTAACTTAATTGTTTTAGAGCGTGTTGCTATTGTAACAGCCCAGAGAAGAACCAAAAAGGCACATGTTTTTATGCATGACTAGATTTTTAGTCCCAAAAATGTAGTTTTGTGTTTACCACTGCAACTGTCGCACCTCTCTATTTGAATTTACTATGGACTGCATGTGGTGTCTCTTTGCCCCTTTGAAAGCAGTTTTTATGTAAAGAAAGCCCTAGTTTGCAGAGAATGAGAGCTTATTGGAAACTAAAGGTTCGTTGTGTTAAGTGCAATTAATACACGTTCTTGTGCTTTATGAAAATGTACACCGAGATCTGGCCAGTGCTGCACAGATTGATACGTTAGCCCCTTGCTTTTTTTCCTTCCGGATAACCTTGTAACATATTGAAACCTTTTAAGGATTCCAGGAATGCATTATTCCACAAAAAAACAGTAGACCAATATATAGTGTGTTTAAAATAGCATTTCTGGGCAAATTCAAACGCTTGTGGTTCTAGGACTCACATCTGTTTCAGTTTTTCCTCAGTTGTATATTGACCAGTGTTCTTTATTGCAAAAACATATACTTGATTTAACAGTGTCAGCATATTTTTTCTTCTCATCCTGGAGTGCATTCAAGATCTTCCCAATACAGGAAAATTAACAAAAAAAATTTATATATAGTCAGTGGCAAATAGCCGTGTTCAAAATAGTCATTATGGGCTCAAGTAAAAAGGAGACTCTTAAGTTTAAGTCCAGTTTTTCTGCTCAGTTTTTTGAGCTATTGACCTCCTGAGACTGGCACTATATGTTTTAGTAGCCTACCCAAACTCTTTTCTTATATGATTTTGCCAATACCAATTTTCAATTTGTTTTTACACAACATTATTCAAGCCACTGGAATTATCAAATATGATGCTATAGCAGTATAAGTGCTCCAAATAAGACTGGTAGTAGCTGACTCCAAGGGATCATTAGCAAAAACAGTCCCCAAAGACTAAGTAGTCCATAATATAAATATATAGACAGATAGACAGAAAAGGTAGTTCTAACTTGAAGCATATATTTAATGCAAATAAGCACCCAGGCACAGGTCTAAAATACTGCATTATCACTGTAAAGTATACTTTTAAAATATTTATTTTTTTTAAAGAAGTATTTTCTAGTGTCCCCTCTCTATGGAATGGTGAAAACAAGATGCTGTGTTTTGAAAGTAAGATGATGAAATGAATTTTTATTTCAGGAAACATTTAGAAACATAGGAATTAAAACTTAGAAAAGGGATCTTCTAATTTACCTGTTCACACAAACTTTACACTTAAATCTGATAATTGGATAATATTTTATTTTAGTGAAATATCTTGTTAGCCAATTTTAAAAAATGGATGTAGAATGATTAAAAGTTGTTATGATTTTTTAAAAATATGTATCAGTTTGAATCTAGAAGATTTAATTAAAATGCTGTCTCAATATTTCAAAAGCAAAACAGGAATGGAGGAAAATTGCATCTTAGACCATTTTTATATGCAGTGTACAATTTGCTGGGCTAGAAATGAGATAAAGATTATTTATTTTTGTTCATATCTTGTACTTTTCTATTAAAATCATTTTATGAAATCCAGTGCAGTCGTGTGTGTGTGTTTAGCAGAGAGAGAGCGTTCATCAAAATTTGATGCAGGCATGGATGATGGCTTAGGGCATCCAGAAGAAACATTAACATTTCAGGCATGTAGGTGATATTGTGGATGAATCTCAGAAATTTATTTTGTCCTTTAGTACTCATTTTTCTTTTGCTGGTTGTGCCTATTACTATTTTTTCCAGTTTTTATTTGCTATGTTGCTGCTAGTATGTCAGAGCTGTACCTGGAGTTTGTTCTTCATTGTAGGCATTTAGCACAGTGAGATGGGATTACTGTAAAATTCCAGGGCAAGGGAAGAAAAATAGAATGATTTGAGGAGAGAAATGAGACGATGTTCGTGATGAAGAACAGACCGGATCACCTGTAATATTCTGCCGTTTACTTTCTTTTATCTTGCAATGGTTGCTACTGAGGTCGTTAGATCAGAGTTTCTCAACCTTGACACTATTGACATTTTGGGTGGGATAATTCTTTGTTGTAAGGATTTGTCCTGTATGATGTTTTGCAGCATCCCTTGCCTCTGCCCAGTAAATGCCAATAGCATTCTTCTATTTGTGACAACCAAAAACATCTCCAGACGTTGCTGAAGGTGCCCTGGAGAGCAAAATCATCCCCAGTTGAAAACCACAGCTTTAGATGGAGGAACAGAGGTTCTGAGCACTGAGGCTGACTGCAGTGAGGGACTGTTACTTGCCTAGGTTGACTCATAAGCAAGAGAAGTTGCTTGGAGATGCCACGGCTTCTGCAGGGCAGCCTGGCTTAGCAGTTAAGAACACAGGCTCTGGAGCCAAACTGCCTGGGTTCAAATCCCGGTACTGCCACTTGCTGTGTCACTTTGGGAAAATTGCATAACCTCTCTCTGTCTCTGAGCCCTTTGTCTTTAAAATGGAAGAGACTATTACTACCTACCTCCGAGGGTTGAAGATGAGATGTTAGTTAACACTTATGAGGTGCTTAGAGCCGGTTCTACTATGTAGCAAGAGCTCAATAAATGTTAGCTAGGAGAGAAAGGGTATAAGGAAAGGGACAGTAGAATAAGTCTGAGGGCTAAACCAAGACAGTGTGGGGACAGCTGTCTAACACCCCTAACACTGTTGCCTTAATGCTGGGAAGGCACCCTTAGTGTTTTGGGGAGGTTGCAAACATCATGGCAGCTGTCTTCATCATGCTTGCAGGTGTATTCCGTTTGACATAGCATTAAGAAAAAATACTCAAATTAGTTGCCAGCATTTATTTATCTGGGGGGCAGCTGGCCAGTACGGGGATCCAGACCCTTACCCCAGGTGTTGTCAACAGTGTGTTCTAACCAACTGAGCTAACTGGCTAACCCCAGTTGCCAGCATTTAAAAGATAAGTATTTTCACATTAATATTGGGATTTCTGGCTTAGAAAATGGGAAGGGCTGACCACCTGGGTACATATGTCACAGATTTCATGTAGTAATAATCAGCTGAATCCAAGCGGTTGCTGCTTCCTTTTAGACAAGACTGAGCATGTCCAATTAGCTACTCATTTATGTCACTTCACTGGCCCCTGCAGGCTTTTGCATTGGTGGTGGTTTTTAAAAGTGTTTTTTTTTTTTTTCTATGTCAAGGTTTCTCAACCTCACTGCTATTGACATTTTGGGCCACATAATTCTTTGTTGTGGGGACTGTCCTGTGCATTGTAGGATGTTTAGCAGCAGCCCTAGCCTCTACCCACCAGATGCCAAAAGCACCCTCCCATTTGTGACAACCAAAAATGTCTCCAGACATTTCTAAATGTCCTCTGGGGGGCAAAATCACCCTGGGTGAAAACCATTGGTATAAACCGAAAAGGTCTGTATTTATAAGCTAGCCAATGAGGTTAAAACAAAGAAATAAAACAAGCAAACAAAAAGGATTAGTCTCTTGATGTAAAGAAATGCCTGGCATATCACGGGAACTCAATAAATATTTAGTGAGTGAATGAAAAACACATCCGTTCCTATGTTTCAGCCCTGCCACTCTCCTGCAGTGTGACCTTGAGCAGATTCTTGAGTCTCTGATCTTAGTGTCCTCAGCTGGAACACGGGGTCAAAAACGGTTGCTCAGTTAGGCTCGATATTTAAATTACATGATATAACCTGCAAAAGGCCGCCTCCAAAGCCTAACAACAGCAGCAACTTAATAGGAGGTAGAATTCGTTTTAAAAACAAAGAAAATAAATTATCAGGGAAATTTGTCTAGCCAGCCTGCTCCTACATAGATAAATGAACATGAGTTCTTTGATACTCCTTATCAAGCTGCAATTTCTAAAGAGCATTCCATCACTCACAGGCCCAGGAAATCAACAGGAAGTGTTTTGTGGCCAAACAAGTTTAGCAAATGACAAATGACGGACCATTGCCCCACTGAGAGGTGTAAGATGTTCATTAGCATATCGGTAGTGCTAAAATCGAAGAGCGGCAGGAAAGACGTCTGCTGTTTTACTCTGAGTTTGCTGAATGTTTTGGACTTCTGTTTGGTGAATGCCTGTTACCATTGTCTGGGCCAGTTCGGAAGTGCTAGTGTGGGGCGCCCCTCTCTCTGGCAGGGTTTGTGGGCAGGTGTGCTCTTGTGGTCAAGTGCTGAGTGGCTTGACCTTTGTGGCTGCACAGTGAGGGAGTGCTGTCTGGTGACATGTCTAAAGAGCTGGCATCTGGTCCTCTTGCTCTTGGAGGGGCTGGCCCTGAGTGATGGTTAATCCACTCTGCAGCCTGGGTGATTGGGATGGAGAAGAATGTGCTCTGGGAGGCGACGAGGGGAGTCCTGAGTCAAAACTAGACCAAAAGATGGGGAAGAGGAAGGAAGAGGGGGGACAGAAAGAGGGAGCGGGAGGTGGAAAATGCAGAGGAGGCAAATGAAGGAATGAGAAGCTCCGGCTGTCCTCTGACTATCACCTTCAGACGAATCTCATTTTACTGGTTCCAAAAATAAAAGTGATGTAGAAAGTTAGTATCTGATAAGCATTTACTCTGTGCCGGGCCCTTGCTAAGGGTTCTACTTTCATACCATTTAAGTAAGATTCCCAAGAGTCCTCTGAGGTAGTTCTGTAGATGAAGAAATGGAAGCTTAGAGAGCTCAAGTCTGACCCGAGAGCTCCTTTGTCCACCAGAAATG